GCACACGAATCGGTCCCTCAGTCGTTCCTCGAGGTCCTTGAACTCGCAGGGCTTGGCGGCCTTCCGTAACACGGCGATGTATTCCTTGGCTGACTCACCGGACCGTTGATCCCTCTGTTCGAAGATGTGGCGCCATGAGATAACAGACACCTTGGGGTTGAAGTGCTCCTTCAGCAGCTTCTTCAGGTCTGCGTAGCTTACAGACTCTACTGGGACAGGTGCTGCAAGGTTTTCTGCGATTTCGAAGGCGTCTTGGCCGCAAACGCAAAGCAGGGTGGCCGCCTTCAAGCTATCTTCCCTCACTTGGTTTGCCTTGAAGTAGTTCTCCATTCTGGATACGTAGGACTCCCACCGCTCTGGATGTGAGACGTCGAATTCCGAAAGCCTTCCGATTTTCGCCATCTTCGGATCTTCAGGAGACGGGTCTATCAGCCAGCCTACCCCCGAATGCGCACCGGATTGGCGGGCAGCTGCCAAGTCGACGCCGTTCCTCTTTCGCCGCTCAGGACTCCTTGGGTAAGCTTACACTTCTTCCTTTCCAGGTAGTGCAAGGCATCCCATCCTCGTCGCCAGTGTTGAGTCCGTGGCGGGAAAACAGACACGAGAAGCAGCTGGAGTTCTCAGTTTCATTTATTCAGCGTTCAGCTTACAGGAAGATGGCTTCAGCCTCGCCCAAACGCCTCGCAGCCTCTTATATAGGCAACTCCCGGGTAAATGGGTTACTTTTCCCGCGCCAGCACCCGCGCATGCGCACGGCGCTGGCGACAGCCTGTCTGGTCCCGGGCAGCTTTGCACCTGCCCGGGACTGCCTGCAAACGCCCGAGCCGTTTGCAAGGCTCGGGACATAACATTTAGAATTGCTATATCTATTTATTCCCTTCAGAAAATGTTTTTCCTGTGCATTTTGCATTTTACCTGAGAGTTTATATTTTGAAAAGCATATCCAGTGCTTGACAAGCAATAGAACTACATAGCTACATTCAAATGTTTTCTTTTAGCAAATGCTTTTGTCATTCATACTCACTGTATCAGTTATTTGCTTTCAACATTCCTTCCTTAGCACTCTTACTACTCCAGATTTATACAGAATTGATACAGAAAGACAGAACTGCCCCTGAATGCTACCTCTTTTCAGCACCCTATCAACTTGTCCTGCCAACAAAGCAAGTCATTTCCTTTCCTAGATACTGTATGGTATATTCTGCATCTATACCTTTATTTTTCCCCATGTAACCTCTAATTATTTAAATCCTTGATGTTGAACTTGCCTGTCAGAAGATTAAAACTTCACAAGGCTACAGCAGCATCACAGGAGTTTTTCAGGACCCATGACTAGCAAATTTTCCAGTAAATAAAGAAGGGAAATATGTGAAAAATAACAGCATCTCAGTGCATTCTCATTAAACCTGTAGGAAACATACAAAGAGGGGAATAAAGGATCAGCATCCTTGTTCCAGTAGATGAATTAATCTGTCAGTTACTATCAATTCCCTTTCTGTATCAATTTGTGATTTTTCTTTAAAAAAAACACTACATGAACATTCATATAGCCTAGTTACATTTTTGAGACTGTTCACATTTACTCACTTTTGATGTACTTTTTGAGCTAAAATATTAACTGCATAAATTTTGAAAAAGGGGAATAATGAATGAAAAGTGTCCTTTCCTATATTAATTAGTATCATCAGAAATCAGCACACAAAGCAAGGCCATTCAATCTCCTGAGTTCCACAAAGCACAGGAAGAAATTGCTTGCCAGATCACTGAAATAAATCTCAAGTGCTCACTGAAAATCAACAAGATCCATTAGGTGACTGGGGCAGATTATTTTAATCACACTGTCACCTTTGCAGAGGTCCAGGATATTGACAAAGCAAATGTAATCTAGGAAGTAAGCTAACATGGCAAAGGGCAGATGACAATATATTTCATTACCATTGCTCCAAGATAAAAAACAGATCCAGCTTATGATAATGTATGTCAGTTGAGCTAGAGACAAATAGCTTGATTCTAGTCGCTTGTCTCCAGTTTCCATAGCATCCACGGCATTTCAGAAATGACAATTTAGCATTAGTATGCACCATTCTCTGCTGGCCTTGAGTGAACAGAGTGAATAACCAATGCTACTTCTACTTGTTCTGGCCTTCCACAGTCACCCAATCCAGTTACAGTGGCAGCAACAAAAGTAGCATTAGTTATAGCAATGAAGGTGACAGAGCAACCTTTGCCTCTTCACTCTCTTCACTACTAGTACCATTGGCCTGCCAAATGCTAGCTTTTATTCCTTCACTGACAGTCAGATTCACTGCCAATCTCATCTCAAATCTTTGATTCCTATCAGGAATTCCTTTCTTTCATTCTCAATGCTTCTTCAATGCTGCTCTCATCTTTTAGTTCTATGTATACCATTCACACATTCTCACCCCATTAGTGAACCTTCATTCTTCAATAATTCAGCAGCCTAACTACATCCTTCCAAAACCTTGTTCCGATAAAGCAGTTTAATTTAATTTTATAGAGATTACTCTAATATTTACTGTCCAGGCTCCAGCTGACTCTGGACAATGTACAATAATACCAATAAAATGAAAATAGAATACAATCATTGTAAAAGAATAGGTAAGAACAAATGGCAAATCTAACTAACCTCACCCACTGATTGTTCTTTCCATACCAGCATTAAACTCTCTAAAACAGACCTGCCAGTTGGTGTGTGTGAGTATGTGTGTGTATCTGTATGTATATATGCGTACATCTGATTTATATATTTTGTACAACTAATGACAATGTCTATAATGGTCCCTCCTCTTATTTTCCTACAGAAATCACCTGTTAACTTGGTTGGGCTGAAAAAAAAGTGACTGCCTCAAAGTCACCCAGCTAGCTTCCATGCCTTAGAGCAGGAGTCTTCAAACTTGGCCCTTTTATGACTTGTGGACTTCAATTCCCAGAATTCCTCAGCCAGCATCACTGGCCGAGGAATGTGGGAGTTGAAGTCCACAACTCACAAAAGGGCCAAGTTTGAAGACCTCTGCCTTAGAGAAAACTGAAACCCACACTTTCCTGTTTGTAGCCCAACACACAGTGGTGGGATTCAGCCAGTTCGCACCACTTTGCAGAACCGGTAGCTAATTTTTTGTTGCCCAAGGCCAGAATGGACTTCTGGAAGTGGCATCCACACAAAGAAACGGTTGTTCACATATTTGAATCCCACCACTGCCAACACATCAACCATTGCACTTAGTTCTCTTTCTGTATATGCATTGATGTGTGAGTGAGAGAGCAAGACAAAATATTTCTCTGTCTACTATCATGAATAATAATTGTTTCTGTGCTCCAGTCTTAGTCCTTTCAACTATCCAGAATTTTAATAGAAGAACATATATGTAGTTCAAGGTTGAACTGTATTGCTTAGTGCTCTCTTAGCTTTGTTATTTACTTACAGATGTTTCATTGCCCAACTAAGTAACATCATCAGTGTAATGATTCAAAGCTTTCTTAATTTGCCAGAGACAAGCAATAATTGTTTGCAGGTAGGGTAAAACTATCAATCTGCCTGAGATTTTTCATGAAAAGTCTTTGAGATAATAAATACACAAGGTGATTTCCTTAATGACATTCAGATGTCTGAAACTAATGGTATAATTTTGGAAATTGAAGCGTAGCATGAAGAGGGTGTAGATATTGATATTGTAGAAAAAAGAGTGACTTCTATTTGCTTATACTTCAATGTTGGTGCTAATAACCTTAGTGTCAAGGCAGACTTTCTAAAATAATGATTGCCCAATTTCTGAAACATGTGAGACAGCTTACAAATAGTCCATTTTAGGCTTTTATACATGTTTTGGCATTGCCACTGGCATTGCCTCAACATAAATTATTCTAGTGCTCATATTTACTTCTACTTCCCTGTGCCTTGAATTATAATGTTAATGCAGGCTGATTTAATTTGGGCAGACTCTTTAATTCAGTGGTCAGAGTCCCTTTTCAGTATTTGGATCAGAGAGATCCAAATTGCTGTTCCAACTTGATACTTTAGCAGGAAACACTTGTTCAGTTTACAAATAGTTCTTGGGTTATGACAACTCATTCAGCAACCATCCATGCACCATTGTTCTTGCCATTGGTTTCTGCACACCTGCCCATGCTCCATAGCACATGCTGTAATGACCCACATACCTGCCTTTGCTCCATAACATGTGCCTATAGCACGTATCTGCCCATAGCTCTCACCAACAGCTCTCACTTGTTGACCTGAAACTCTACTTCTTCTCATATCATTGTCACATGAGGTCTTTGGTCAATGACCCAAGCATCTGGTTAAGACAGCAGCCAGGAATGCTAACTGGTAACGTGACATTGTTCTTTACAATTGCATCACTTAGTGACAGAAATTCCAGTCCTAATTGTTGTCTTAACCTCAGGACTATCTGTAATGATTTACTTCAAAAGAGTGTGAATCAAATTTTTGGAATTGAAGTGCCCTATAGACTTAGTGTCTGCCTCAAACCATGTGTGGGTGGGAACAAAGAAGGTCACCAAGGGATAGCAGATGTTTCAGGCTTCACTCATTGTCTTCCTTTACATGTTTATTATATACTAAATCAGATTGCCTAAAATCTAGAACAAAAATGTCAACAAATGAATAGAGTGATGGTGATAAAAATACCGTAATATGGTCATACATTTAAATGCTTCTGTGATAACCATTTCAGTGGAGAAAATCAACTACACACAACTCTAGCAACATACAATATAAGTAAAAAACAAAAAAGAACCCCTGAGCTAGATGTTGCATAAAGTTGTTTTATCTAAGGTGACTGATCTTTGATGAAAACTGTATGATCTTGTGAAATGAGCTGCTATTTTTTTAAAAAAATCATAGAATATATAGTTTGCAAAGGGCTTCAGAGATCCTTGAGTCCAATTTCCGACCTGATGCAGGAAACCACAACTATATTATCCCTGACAAATCTGGCATCTGTTTAAATAATTTAGTAATGAAGAATCTACCACTAGCTGAGACGGTCTGTTCTATTTCTGAGCAGATCTTGCTGTTAAGAATTGTTCCTGATGTCCAACTGAAATCTGTATGTTAGACATTTTATAATCCTTCTACCTTGTCTTGTCAGCTGAAACAACTCTAAGTTATTCTACCCCACATTCTACATGACAGCTTGAAGAAAGTTATGTCTCTATACACACCCAGCTCCTTGTAATTTCTCCCTTCCAAGCTCTTATGATATTAGTTGTTTTCCTCTGGATATTCTCAAATGTGATAAAGTCCTTCCTAAAATGCAGTGCCCAGAACTGGACCCAGTATCTAAATACAGCCTGACAGCAAAAGAATTTAAAGAAATGTAATTGATCAAGTAGAGTCATAGCTACAGTAATAATTAATAGATTATAGCTATTAATTTACAGATGACAGCTATGTTTTTAATTATCCTTCTGCTTGCAATTTTATAGCATTTTAAACAAATAGATATCATGAATTATAACTAAACAAATCCATCTGAATAGATTCTTTAGGTAACCAGCTGTTGCCAAATTGTGAAGAAAATTATAGTGAGCTTTCATGTTGTATTAGAGAAATGGTGATTGTACTGTTATTTATCCCTAGTTTGTAGATTGAAATTATACCTTCCCTTTAATACAGATATTATTACCTCTGAGAAAACTGTTCTAATATTTATGGATGAATATTTGAGAAGAGGAGAAAGAGATGGAGCCTTTATTCTTTCCTATTGGTGTTCGTTCTGCATAGGAAGTGAATCCTAATAAAATCCCTAGGAACAAATCTACTTAGTTATTTCTTCCAATTGCTGCACTATATTTTATAACAGCATATACTTGGGGAAAAAATAAACATGCATATGTGGCTAAATCATACAGCATTTGATCAAATTGTGTATGTATTTACACTTTTTATGCAAAAAGGAATTCTGAAATAAATATTGTATGCTATATACATAAAAGTGTAACAGGACCATGAAAGTCCTCTCCAGTTTAAAGTAGAGCAAAATTCATTTGTTTTGATTGATCATCTCCCAAACTTTGTTCATGAAGCTAGGTAATATTTTCTTTCCTCTTCTTCTATTCTTTAGATTTGTGATAAAGAATGGCACTACTATGTTGTCAACATTGAGTTCCCAGTAGCTACTTTGTATATGGATGGTACAACATATGAACCATATCTTGTAACTAATGACTGGCCTATTCATCCCTCACACATAGCAATGCAACTCACTGTGGGTGCCTGTTGGCAAGGTAATTATATTAATTTGAATGCTTAAATTGAAATTTCACTGTATTGATATTTCTATTAAATAGAGGGTTGTATTTAATGAAATCATAGTTTAAATGCCAGCTGAGGAAAGTTCTCTCTCTACATTTAGACCTTTGTAAAGTTTGATGTAGAAATGCAGGCCCTGCACATGCAAAAAAAGTAATATAATTTTATTTTTAGAAAACAAGCATTTATTGAACAATTTAGATATTCTCAATGCAACAAGAAAATAGTACTTTGAAATTTGTGTGTGTGTATGTGTCTAGTCTTTCAGATCTATTCTTCCAATAATCTGCAAAATCCCAGACCTTTTCTATTTTAGAAATAGAAATCTGGAATTAGAAATTATGTTTCATTTATTATACACTGTGCTGTCTTGCAAATTGTTAAAAATTACCTGACTAAAAAATGTTGCCCTATTCCATTCCAAATAATTAATTAAGTAGTTATGTTTTATTTTGATTCATTTTCTGTACTTTTCTTTTACTACCATTACATCATTAATTAAATAGCTTGATGATTCTCTTTCATTACTTTCTTTCACTTAATTCATGTACTGTGATTTGTTTGGTGTTAGCTTAGTATGACTTAACAGTTTGAATTCAAGAAGATATATATGAACTGTGAAATCATGTACTGTACTTCCTAAAGTGTGGGGCTCTAATGTAGCTTGTTTTATGTTGAATTTTATTTATATACATATAGCATTTTACTATGGAAGTAAAGATAATTGTTCTTAATGTAATAAAGTATACCCTAATGTGCACCTTCCACAATCTGACTCTGTATATGTATTGGAGTTGAAATGTCCAGAATTTCTATCCAGCTTAATTTTCAATCACTTTTTGGGGAGGGTGATTTAATGAGTTCTGGCAATCCTAAATCACATGAAGAATACTATATTACAAAAAGCTATCAAAACATTATTAATTCCTATTCATTATATGATGGTGGTGGTGATGTTGATTATATTTGGTTTATGACTATAGTATTATATTCTTTCCATTTTTCTCTCATGTTTCAAATAGTCAGCTAATTAGAAATTAAGTGCTGGACAATCATGTGCTATAGTTAATAAGTTGTAAAGTCTTAGTTAGTCTCATAGCTGTTATTTATTTTGAAATTTTATTTATTTATTTATGAGACTTATATACCGCTTTAAATGCAAGCACTCTGTAAGCGGTGTACACCAGTAAGCAATGTATATATATATATATATTTACATTGCCCCCAACAATCTGGGTCCTCATTTTACCTACCTCGGAAGGATGGATGGCTGAGTCAACCTTGAGCCGGTGAGATTTGAACCGCTGACCTGCTGAACACAGTCAGCTAAAGTGGCCTACAGTACTGCACTCTAACTGCTGCGCCACCTTGGATCTGAAATGATATCACTTCCAGCTTTGCACTTCTGGTCAAGCATATGCAAGGAAGAATGTATCTGGATAGAAGGAAAGATTTTTGAATTTTCATGTAATTATCCCCACTCCTGCCATCTTCAGGAGGCTGAGGACAAGTGGAAACATTGTGAATCAATCTATGCTCTTCCATCTGAACCATAGGAAAGTGTTATCTTGACTGAGCTGTGAAATATTCTTAAGTAATAAAAACTCTCTTGACCCACTGCACACAAAAAAGGAGTTAAGGGAGTTGAGGGAGTTGATATCTCAAACCTGATTGAAAATTGGAATTCCTAGCCCTAGCTCCTAAGACTTATCTGGAACTGGAAGAGAGTTGATGTGATTATAATCTTCAAAAAGGGAAGAAAAAATGGATCCAGGAAACTATAGATCAGTTAGGTTCACATCAATACTTGGGAAAATCCTAGAAAGGATAATCAAGCAGCATATTTCTGAGTGCCTAAAAATGAACATAGCAATCACTAGAAGCCAGCATGGGTTTGTTAGAAACAGAACATGCCAGATAAACCTTAATGATTACTTTAATAAAGTGATTAAATTATTAGACAAGCAAAATACTGTGGATATAGCTGGATCACAGCCTACTTTGGTCAGATAAAACAATGTGGAATAGATAGTACCACTACCAGATGATTCGAGAAGTGTAGCTTGATGGTAGTAAAGAGAGGGAAAGTAGTTAAGACTGATGCAGTGGAACTACCAGCAAACCACATAGCAGGCATACAGACCAGCTACAGTACCTTGGTATCCCACAGAAAGATAGGAACCATAATAAGGAGACAAGAAAGACAGCAAGAACCAACTACCACCAAAGGATAAGACAATGGAATGAAATGCATGGATAAACTTGAGGAAAAGAGAAAGGAGGTGCTGCCTACCAGCTAAGAAAGGTATGAATCTGTGGTCAATTTACAGTCAAACAAAGAAACTAGAAAAGGACCTCCCTAATGGATCTAGTAGTAAAAAGTTGAGGGCAGGAAGTTGTACCTCAGACTTACAAGATTCTGTTAATATAGTGAAATAGATTTAGCTCATCTGGTGTTGTTTCTACCCAGTTACCCAGGAGGGCTGACAGACAGGCCCTGAAAACTCAGCTCAAGGGAATAATAAGATCCATGCCATCAAAACATATATCTTTATGGTATTGTTAGCTAAACAAAGGAAGGCATAGAGACTGCTAATGGATTGACCCAGAATTTCTTCACAATATATGGAGGTTTCTACCTGATGTTCAACACCCAGAAATTGTACACCAGCAAAAAAGAAAAAGGAGGGGGGACAGCTGGGGTCTACTGAATGTCAAAGTTACTGTCCAAGATGAAGCCCAGAATATTCAAGGGCACATCAGTAAGTTGGCATCCAAAGATGTGCTGCTAAGAGAATGCCTGAGATAGCAGCAGCAGACATGGGAAGATGATCAAACAGAAGAATGAGATGTACAGATGTACACGATATGTACAGATAGTTGAATAGGCAGACAGTGAGAAATCCTATCAGGCACTAAGCACAAGATCCAAAGAAGCAGGGGTTTACCACTCTAGACAGGACCTACGGTACAGGCAGAACAGAGAGAGTCCAACACATAGTAGCAGGATGTAAGATGCAGGCAGGAACAGCATATATTGAATGATACAACCAAGTAGCTGGCATTGTGTACAGGAACCTTTGTACAATGTATGCAATAGATCCTCTCAAGTCCAGATGGGAGATTCTTCAAAAAATCTTGGAGAATAGAAGTGCTAAGAACCCGTGGGACTTCCAAATTCAGACAGACAGGCAGGTACTAACCAATCAACCAGATATCATGATGATAGACAAGAAGCAGAAGACAACTATGGTAAGAGATGTAGTGGTGCCAAGTGATAGCAGTATCAGGAGAAGAAGGAATATGAGAAACTGGAGAAGTAGCAGACCTGAAGAAGGAACCTGAAATGATATAGAAAGTAAAAGCCAACATTGTCCCAGTGGTGATAACAAGAAGAACATCAGAGCTTTCTGTCCACAAGAGTACAGTGCTAGGAACAACTAACAAACTGTGTGTTCCCAGACCTCTTGCAGAAGACCTGAGATTGAGAAAGACACATTCAAACCCAAAAGGAATACAAAACCAAATGATTTTCTCTACATATTGCATTTGATTCTATGCAAAGACACTTGACCATGTGGAATAGGTGGAATACTATGTGTAGTTCATGTGGTATTCTTTGTTAAACTCTGGTTATTATGATTATTTCATAATATCAGTTCATACCCTAAATGAATAGAACTCTCTGCTAAGAGATTTCACCTATACATAAAGAGGACTTGGCAAACTATAAGAAAATAATGGAAGAAAACTGAATCAAAGCATAATATTCAACTTGATATTTAATTCAAGAATTCGCCAGCCAAAATGTTGAATTCTGAATAATGTACAACATTTTACTGAACATGAAATGTTTCTTTAGTTATTAGTGTTTTATTCCCTTCTTCCTTTTTTTTTCTACATGCCCCTGCAGATCACATTAAAAACTTAATCCCTCACTTGAAGTCCTGTCTTCATTCTTTTCTTCTTGGTTGGTTGTTTCCTGAAATATATTTCTGGGTCCATTGATTGCCACTTTTTAGAACGTCAAAAAATACAACAATAACAACAGAAATAAAATAGATAAACAGAAAACAGTTTCATGGTTTGCCATTTCTGAAGGAAAAATTTAGAGATTTTTTAAAAAAAAATACATCACTAAAATGTATGTTTTAGAGGGAAAAGATTATCAATAGTACTATAAAAACAAAAAACAAAACATCTTTATTGTATTAAATAAAACTGCCTTCCAAACTCAAATCAGATGAATTGTTGCCATTAATCAACACAAAGCAAATATAATTACAGGCATAAAGATTAGCATAAAAGAATTAAAATAATTTCCTAGAGGTAAGAACAAAACGAAAAGTTTAACTAAAAGGAATTTTGAAAATAAAGAACCTCACTTAAATGTGAGTAGCTTTGCTTTTGTTTTGCCTTTGAATCCTTGTTGACTCCTGTAACTACCAGAACAAGTCCTGCAGCTTTCTTGGAAAAACTTGGAAATGTTTTACCATTGCCTCCTTCTTATGCCTTACCGAGCTAGATATATGCCTGAGACAAGACTAGAATTCATGGTCTCCCAATTTCTAGCCTGCCTTTTAACCACAACATCAAACTGGCACTCATTCATTCATTCATCCACCCACCCATCCATTCTGCCTTTATTATTTTTATAAATAACTCAAAGCAGCAGTGCTCCTTCTTCCTCCTAATGCTTCTTCTTTCCTAAAGTTTCTTCTTCCTCCTATTAATTCAAATGCAAAAAAATAATTGGTGAGTTGGCTGAGACAGAATAATTGGCCCAATTGGCTTTCATGTCTAAGGTGGAAATAGAATTCACACTCTTTCTGTTTCTAGCCTTATTCCTTAACCTCTAGACCAAACATATCAAACTCGCAACGTCATGTGATGTCACGTGACGTATCAGAGCTTTTTCCCCATTGCTGGCAATGGGGTAGGCGCGGTTTCCTGGTGATGCGTCCATCCTGCAGGC